GAGAGAGAGAGGGAGAGAGAGAGACAGACAGGCAGACTTATCCTCGTTTCGCTTTCAATGTATTCGAATACAACATTCATACATATATTGCGCAATACAATGATTATCTGGGACCAGTATGTTCAGTCAGGTAGTCATTGTTCAAAATTACTAGTTAGGTTCATGACAGTAGTCCAATTGCAACAACACCGATAAAGATGACTCCGGGCACCAACTAATGTCACTGGAGGTCTTGAGATTCGATTCTCGACAGGTGGCAGAATTTTCGACCCTAGCTACAAAGGCAGGTCGGATTCAGATGTAGTATGGAGGAGAATTCTAGTGGCTGGCTGCATTGATCAGTATTTTTTCGTAGTTTCTCCGACCCACAGGCAAATGCCGGAGAATTACCAACAATTGGGCCACGGATCGCGCGCGATCTTTCTTTCCTCTTCCTTGTTCTAACCTAATCCATTACGTACGCACACACTAATGTGAACTACACTACCACACATGCCGCAGACCGGTCGAGAGTTCAGATTTCGTCCCGGATGAGGTGGCGCTGAACCTCATCATCAAGCGGAGGAAGTTCGAAACATGCACTACACTTATGAAACTCATTACCTTAGAAGTGGACGCGCCAGGAATCACTAATCAATCAATCTAATAGCAACAGACGCGATACTTTGCCAGTTTCTTTTCGAAGCTTTAAATACCAATAAAGAAATTATATTATTAGCTGATTTCTCTGTGCTCCAATACAAAACTCAGAAATACAGCGTGGCGTTAATTCGTATTTTGGTTATTGTAAATTATAATAATTTTAATAAAAATATTACTTATAAGTTAAAAAAATATTTTTACTCCTTTGTACCAATCGTTATATAAGTTCTATTCCAGTTTCTCTCGTCGCACTTGTTATGCTGAAAGAAGTTCAACTGGTGAAACCATCTCAAGGGCTTTTTTCATTTGTTTGTTGACAGGCCAATGTCACGGTACGCCAATGCGGAGAACAAAGAGGTCACACGTGTAATACGAAGCTTGAACTGAGTAGAGATGTATGTTCCGACTTGGAGGCTACAGACGCCCCAAATTATTCTCAAACATTTCGAGAAAGTGTGTCTCCAAAGATAACATGTCCAATTAAACCGGTAAGTACAATCCACCGTCACCAGTCCTTCCACTGTTCTCATTGTTTCCAGCAGTCGCCGCACTCGCCGCCTTCGCCGCCCTCGCTTCCTGCAGCGCCCTTACCGCCGTCGCCGCTCCATCTTCCGTCATAACCCTCGCCGCCACCCTTTGCGCCCCCTCCACCCGTCGCCAACCTCCTGCCAAGGCCTCCTCCTATTGTCGCCGCGCCTCTACCGTCGCCCTCCTCCTACAGTTGCCCCTTCTGCCGTTAGCTGCCCTCCTTCAGGCGCCACCCTCCTAGCCATGTCACCGCTGCTTTGCTCTCCCTCTCTACTTTAACGTCACACACCCCTACATACCTACGCTACCCGCCTCCTGAGCCTATCGCCACCGACTATACACGATCGCCTCCCTCCAGTCGTCACCGCCGTCGCCGCCACTCCTGCGTACATCGTCTTCTATCGTTGCCGTGCCCTTGCACTTGTCACCCTTCTGCCCTCTCCGCCTCATACATCCTTCTCAATCGGCGCGAGGCCTGCCCGCTATTCACTGTCCCATCCGCCTTTTATACTAGCCCTTTTCTTGTCTAGAAATTTCAGTTTCCGACTGGGTAATCAAAATACTGAAAGCAAATGCAAAAATTGCATTTTTTAATTAATGAAAAACATTTATATTTTCTTCTTTAATGTAGGGGCAATATATAGCAACACAATTATAACAACTCTTATCCTACTAGTTATAGAAGAAATTGTATACGCTATTTTCGGAAACGTATAGAGTTCTTTCTTCGGATTTTCTTTGACGACATTAATTCGAGAATGACTTTTCTTCCAAGAAACAGGAAGTTAAGTTTTGAAAAATGAAAAAAATCACACACAGACATATAGGGTGAATACAGTGGTTTTGAAATGATATTGTCGAGTTTTTGTCAAGAAATGTTTTTGAGCAATAGATTTGTGAGTTCATGCAAAATACAAGAGTTGAATTATCACAAATCAGGTCGTTTTAGCCCTAACAACGCCAAATACGAAAATAATATTTTTATTCACCGTCTTGCATTTCAGAAGAAATTTTTTATGGATAGCGGGATGAAAGAGTCAAAATCGTCAGTTTCGATTGCGTTTGGCGAGTTATTTTCGGTTTTTTTAAGTTGCATTGCAACACCTGTTGATCCTCAATTGTTTCCTAATAGGATGACTTTGATGGCCGCGTTCATAGGCTTCCGCGGCCGGAGTCAATAAGCCAATACATTCTTGGCTATCCGGGATGAGCTTGGCTGCAGTATAGCTCTGAAGAATACCACAGCAAGATGGCCGAAACGTCAGTACAATTGACCGAGACGCGGCTCATCCCGGATAGCCAACAATGTTTTGACTTTGATGGCCGACCAGACCGAGGTAAATCTTCTACCATTTCATGGCCGTTCTTAAATGATTTTTGTACCACTCGTAAGCCCGAGTTTGTGATAAAACATCTTTACGGTAAGCCTTTAACATGTGCTGTTAGACACATGAAATTTCTATGGAAACTATTTTTGAGGAGAAGTCATTTTCGATATGTGTGTTTATAACTCACGATAATTAACACAAGCTGGGAACAAACTAAATCACAGACGGACGTATAAATTGGTGACACAACAGCTGGCATTTTCACCAACTGAAAAGTCAATTGCGTTTCGTACCTGACTAAATGGGAACTTCAAAAAATTCCCCATGCAGTTTTGACAAAGTATATACCGTTTTCTATCGTTGCAGGGGGAGTACCAAATTGAAGATCTAAGCTTGAGTATGTCAAACAACTCCAGCCTTGTTGAGTTCTACAGAGCAGATGGTGTTTATGAAACACATATAATTTTTCAAGAAGATAATATACCAATCTTATGCGTGACTATTATCGGCTATACTTATAACGAATAAATATGAATTCATTCGCTACTAAACGAAATGAAATGATAAAGTAATGGTGTATTTTGTACAAGTAAACAATTCAAATCATGTGTTTATGTAGCTTTGGATACCGAAAAAAATGATGATAAACAGTATATAAATTTTATTTTGTTTATGTGTGCCCCGTATTTCCCGTAACAGAAACATTTTTTTCATCCTTGCCTTTTTTCCCGTTGCTACAGGGCCGGAGCAATGGAGACAGGATTTGTTTTGCATATTTCTCTTCAATATTGTGTTTATAAGAATAATCGAAATGAAATTTTCGAAAATTCATAGTTGACCGTGAACATCGGACCTGTGCCATTGTTATTAGTGTATGCTACTCTTACAAGAAATTTAACCTTTCAAAGCCCCTACAAAAAATACCCTACCCTAATAATTTGGCTAAACGTACGCCGTTGCGTGGAACTGCGAGGTCCCGACACATGCTGAACGTACGCCGTTGCGTGGAACTGCGAGGTCCCGACACAAGCTGAACGTACGCCGTTGCGTGGAACTCAAACACTCCATCTGTCCTTTTAAGAACACCACTGACGTCAAAAACACGTAGAACTACTTCCAAATTGAAGAAACTCAGTGTCTGTCTCGAGTTTAAGCTTTGACATTTTGAAAAAAATATTTAAAATTTGGAAGTACTTTACATGAAGCCTCCCGGGCATTTTCAAACTTTTCTCAAAAACAACTCCAAATATTGTCTTTAAATTGCTTGTAATAATAGAATAAAATACACTTATAAAAGTGGCATAGATACGATTTTCACGGCCAACTTTGAATTTTTGAAAATTGCAAAAATTTGAATTTTTCGGCGTTTTTCTAAAACTACAAAATTGAAGATAGAGATCTTTCCTTGGAAAATAATTGTTCTCTGTTATAAGTTCTTTCAATAAGATCATCAATTTAAAAAAATAGCTGTTTCCGCGCAATACTGCATGTAATGTGTGCTATTTATAAATATTACGAAACAAGATTTCTGAGAAAGGCTCAAAATTTGTTCTTCAAACGTCTGGCAGGGATAGTGCTAAATGTACTCTATGAGACAATATATCATTCGTGCATCAGTTTGCTCTCTTCTTTTGTTTTTTGAGAAATTACAATAATGTAATTTTTTGACTTGTCTCTAACGTCGTTAGTATTTACATTACAGACGATTTGTTCACATTATTACGTTTATGAGTACATGAGCTTCAAAAACGTCGTATAAAGTTTCTCAAAAACTCAACAACAACTTTCTGTGAAAACTAGGTCAAAATAACGCATTTTCAGAAACGCTCAAATGCCATTTTCAGAAACGCTCAAATGCCATTTTCAGAACCCTCAAATGCCATTTTCTCAAAAATGGCTCCAATTTCTTTCAAACTTTTCGAAGCCATAGAGGTAATTGCACTCCTCAATATCACATAGATTCATTTCGGGGAATTTTTTTGTTATTTCTAAAATTACACAAATGTAATTTATTTGAAAGATCTCTCACGCTGTTAATATGCACATTTCCAGGGATTTGTAAGCACTGTTGTATATGTTAGTTTAAATGCTTTAAATGTCTTCTTCAGAAAATAACTCAATTTTCTGTGAAAAAGAGCTCAAATTTGCATTTTAATTAAGGGTTAAAAGCCATTTTCTTAAAAACAGCTCCAAATATTTCGAGACCATTTTTGTAACGACGGATTACTGTTCTTTAGTAAGCTTAAAATAATATTTTTGTTCTACAATTAAGAAACCGTAAAATTAAGAACAAAAATGTGTGGCGATAAATGGGTTGGCAATAGTATGTGGCAAGTTCGTGTAGCTAGACGAAACCAAAGGAAAAAGAAAACTAATACGAGAAAGTCTGTGCATTCTCTAGCACCAATAGTTTATATGGTAATTCGTGTGTTATTTGCATTCGAGTATATTGTTGCTGAAAAATATTCAATAATCGAAAACAGTACAGCGTCGCGGGATGTTGTGGTTGATAGGGGGTGCCGCGCGTGCTGCTTATCGCGGCCGGCGCTAATGAGCATAGAGATTATACGCGCGCGCGCGCTCTGTGAGCGACGTGGGGAATGAGGAGGAGGCGGTGACGCGCTCTGTGAGCGACGTCGGGAGAACAATGCGCGCGCGCCGCCGCCGCATTTTGAATGCACTATATATAAGTTCATAATAGAATTAGTTTAAAAAATTGGAATGCGCGTACCCGCGGCCATAATTAGTTAGAATGTTTTTTTTTCAAATCACTTACACAAATAAATCCTCTCTGCGACACTCGACGCACTTCAACTTCGGCGGCGGCGGTGACACGATGTGCGCGTGTTCGAAACAAGGTAGTACTTTCGCCTGCACTGCAAACACTTCTACTTCGCAAACGGCGGTTTACCATCAAAATGTATGGACACAATACTTTATTTTACTTAGTGAAGATTTTATTTTATTAATTGTTATCAAAGAAAAGTTAAAACAGCTCATCAAAGGAGGAGAAGAAGTACAGTCTGTACATATACTCTTGAATCCCTGAATCTCTTCCCTACTCCTTTACTGTACTGTAAATAGGGGCTACTGTCTCTATTTTTATACTCCTTTCAACTGTTTTGTTAACCTATAACATACAATACTGTTTCAAAACCTTTCTCAAACGTACCTACTAGCTTTGATCTCTAACTTAACAATTTGTGGAAAAACGACCACTTATGTACAATAATTTTTAGCTAAAACAATAAAAAACATCATGGGCAGAGTTGTGTTGGAAATGCACCTTTGCCAACTTCTTGAAAAACAAGTTAAAATTTTTAAAAGTAGACTTTATAGTTTTAAATCGAATTTTTAAAATGTTAATAATATTTTTTAATTGAATATAAATTTTTATTATTTTCCATGTAAAATTTACTAATTGAATTATCTTTAGATACATACTACATATATTGAATTATTAACAAAGGTAATTATTAAAAATAAGTATGAAAATTGGTTATAGTTAATATTTAAAATAATGTGTAATCATCTATGTCACTTTTGTGAATATTGATATTGTGAATACAAGAATGTTCAATATCAAATTTATTAATTTTTTTATATTTATGGGAAGATTTAGTTTATAGTTAATAATGTAATCAAAATTATTCAAAAATGTTTACTTATATGTTAAATTGCAATAACATTGAACTAGCATGCAGGAAGAAGGAACATTAACA